ATGTATTAGCTTTATTGCATAAGCTAGCCTGGGACCCTAAGTCACTGCCTAGAACATTTGTCTCTGGCAAAACAGCCTAAAGTTCAAAACCCATATTCAGAATATGACCCCATCTATGTGCCTGAAGGACCTTCCTTTGACTTTCCAACATTCCCAGAAGGTTAGCAGCACTTAAGCCCCAGCTCTCCAAGGCCTATGGCTGCCATTCCTGGCATTTGGGCTCCATATTCAATCTTCTAAGGAGGTTCCAAATTTAATTGTCATTGCTTGTTGCATCACCACCAGGGCCTTCCTGATTAAAGGATGAATTACTTTCATTACTGGGGATTGACACAACTAGCAGTTGCGACTTCCCATGGCTATCTCTCTGCATACCCACAGCTAGGAATCTCTGGGAGCTAAGACCATGTCTCCTTTGTGCAAAGGCTGGGCATCATTGCCCTCTGAACAGTCCCTGACCCTTCCTTAGAACTTAGGAAGCACAACCAGGACAAAGCCTGAATATTGTACCCATCCCACTCCTCCTCTCCCAGCTCTGAAACCAAGCAGGCATCCTTCCGGAAAGGCACACCTCTGTTAGTAAGCAGGAATCACGTGACAAGGAAGTTGATAGCTGTGATTTGTGACAGATCTTACTAACCTCATCCTAGAAGGATTGGTCAGGAGATCATCTTACACACTGAGGACAAACTTTAGGACCCAGGACATATCTGCTTCCTCCTCTTGGATTGGTTTGGTCTACTTCCTTATCTACAGCCTGATCCAAAACCACCCATACCCCTTGGAAGTTTGAGAGTCAGCAGGAATCCAAGATGGATGAGGACAGGATTCAAGTGGATGCTGTTTGCTCTTTATTATTATTGTTTTCTTGTACAGAAGGAGACAAAATGTAACAGCTAAACTTAACAATTATAAAAAGAAAGAGGGAGAGAAATCAGAAGCAAGTGTGCCTGTTGCCACCAGGCTCCAGTGAAAGGCTGACATATTGAATGTACAGATTTCCCAGCTGACAAGGGTCAACACATGAACATGAACACAGTTTAAAGTGGTACCAAAATTAATTCATTTCACAGTAATCATTTCTATAAGCTCGGTTGCGCATATCAGGGTTTCTACTGTCACAAAATCACAATGACAGAGTGAAATAGTAGACATGTTCACGCCTGGGAAAGTGGCATCTGTGAGGGGAGACGGATTGAGAAGCAAAAGCAGCTGGGGATTTGTCCCAATCCTGAAGATCTGTGTTAATGCTGGGTCTGGGGGTGAGCGCAGGGCAGGCACTGTTCAGCAGTCAGATGTTAGTACAGTGAAACAACTGTTGAGGCATTGAGCTTGAGAGGGTGTGCTATTTGGATATCTTTGTCAGAGAAATTCTTGCTAGAGAGAGACTCGCTGCCCACAGTCTGGAAGGAAAAGCTCCCACGTTTGAATATTTGGGGGCGAATGATGGAGCGGCCAGTCTGACAGCGAAGCATCTGCTTTACAGAATATTTAGAAAGATACATCACGTTTATTACTTTAAACTGCATTCTAGTTCACAAACTATCTTATTCACAGGATAAATAAAGGAGTAGAGTGAAAGGCTGCAATATCCAACATCCCTGCGATGGAGACAGAACAAGGGATCACCCTGTACATACAAGAAGTGCTGAACCCCAAAGCTGAAGGCACAGTGAAGGGATCCTTAATATCTTGAGCCTTTTCTTTGAAAAGGGTACTCATTTTAAACTGGATTCCTCTTACACAAAAGACCCTGAACATTGACTAAAGGGAGGAATATTTCAAATATTTTTATGTAGCCAGAATCATAGCTACTGTGAATTGTCTTAAGTTGTGATTTTTTCAAAGTTCTGAAGCAGTGGGCTTCAAATTAATGAGCTTTCGCTATAGTTGCAAGCAGTCTGATTACAGTACTTTTAATTAGCTAATTATAGTGATTACCATTAGCAGAGTTCAGTGGCGGGTGGGCAGGGGCGGGGGCTGTGCTTGTTTCTGAATCAGTGATGTCCTGAAATGGAGCTTCATTACTTGTCAAGCTGAAAAACCACCTAGACCAGCAGCTCTGCTGCCAAGATATCCATCTCAGCCTCAACTGTGAGTGTCCACACATGAGACAGTGCACATGCATACTCCTAGAAAGAAAGAGCCTCTGTGAGAGAGACTCTCTCCATGATCTCTCTCTCGGACAAAAGAAAAATCTAGAGGCAGTGTTGAATTTTGTTTTTCTTCTTCTCATGGGATGTTATTTGGTTGTCAAAAGATCAACTCTGGCTGGGGGTTGCAAGGCTACACCCACTGGGGGAAGGGAAGCATCTGGCTCTGACTACTTGACAAACAGACACATTCCTGTCCTGAATTCTTCATATTCGGGCTACCAAAAAGGCAATGTGCAACAGATCAGGCAGACTCCTGGTTTTGGAAGCACCCTAAGGAATTCACACTCATGGCAGTGGGATTGGAAGTCGAAAGAGAGGTCCCCCAGGGCCGACTGCTCAGCACTGTGTCTCTGTCAGCCAGGGCTGGATGTAGATGTGTGGGTGGTGTGCACACGCCAGCCACCTGTGCACCCCACTACTGCACTTGTGCTTTCATTTTGAAAACCAGAGGCAATGGGGAGCAAGGGAGGGACAGGATTTCAATTTTTCTTTTAAAAATATCTTTAAAAGTTTTTGGTTGAAAACAAGTGACAGTCACATTTCAAGAAATTGTTAAAGCCTTTTCTTTTTGAAAAATGAAAACATCTACATAACTAGCCCCGCCGTACCCAAAGTCAATAGTCACACATCTTTCCACAAAAAGAAAAAAAAAGCATGCCCAGGAGTGTTCAGATTTCTTTCAGCTGCTGACGCCCACAGAACAGGAGCCCAGGCCAGGGGCACCATGCCAAAAGGGCGTGGTGTGAGCGAGAGTTGCACAGGGTGGGGGCCTGCAGAGTGGAGCTGCTTTGTCTTCTTCCAAAGCCTTTTGCAATGAGGCAAATGGTGACAACTTTGGGGGTTGGGCATCCAATAGTTAATGTCATTTTTCCTTGCTCAGGGCCCTGTCATCAAGCTACCCAGCCCAGGGAGGGGAGGTGACATTTCTCTCTGCAGACCGGATCCCTCCTGGTACAAATATAGCCGCACACTGGCTATTGTTTCAGATAAGCAATGGGAAAAGGTGACATGCACACACACACACACACACACACACACACACACACACACACACCTAGAAGTCCAAAAATAACAAAAATGTAGCCACAAAGGAGTTAGCATTGTATCAAATCCACCTCCATACAAAGACAAAGTTTGAAAAGATATGCACAGGGTATTCGTAAAAGCCAAATGTGCACCACAAGGAGTGATGCTTGCTGTGTGCTGTACAGTCTTTTGTCTACAATGTGCTACAAAAACCATCCCAGAGACTGTGGTGCAACCCCACCTGGCGGAACACTATGAAGCATCTGAACGGAACACCATAGGCTGTAAGGAACCACTGTGGCTCTTCCCACGGCCTGTTCTCAGCCCTTGATCTTGGGCTTCTTCCTGCTTTCTCCCAGTATCACCCAGCCTCAACATGATGCCAAAGGCAGCAGGCATTTCTTGGCAAACACCCTTTGGCTCTGATCAGTGGAGCTCATGTTTGGCTCTGTGCTAACTGAGGAGGAGACATATTGGGTCACACTTGGGTACCTGCTTGAAGAAATATTGGGAAAGCCAGGGCTAGCCTTGAGCTTTAGGCTTCCTCAGGCCCCCCAACATGGAAAAAGCAGGGGCCTTCAAAGCCAAAAACCCCTTTGTGATGAAGGGCAGGAGTGCAATGCTAAAGGCCCAGGGGAGGGAAAGAAAAAGAAATGAAAGGTAGAATGGCACCTGCTCATCATCTCTGGCCAGGGAGCTCTGGGAAGGGAGGATGAGGGAATGGAAAGGGTCAACTGACAGGAGATTGACTCCCTCAGTGGAAACTCAACATCAGAGGCATATGAGGGCCTCAGCTAAGACTGCTCCCTTATAACCTACATCTTTCTAGAAGACTCTTCCTAAGGCAAACCTCCCTGGCTCCCTGGCACTTCAAGCACTTCACAGGTATTTGCTCAGTCAACCTCCAATGGGCCTGCGAAGTAGGGGGAAGGATGGAAAACCCCAGCCACAGGGGCAAGTGATCCAAGCTGGTGGCCTCACTGGGGTAGGCACACAAGCCTTCTGACTTGAAACACATCCCAGGGTCAGGACTAGAGCAGCCTCCAGAAGTCGTCTGTGGCCTGAAGGCGGGGCTGCATTCAAGGAATGAGTCCCAATGTCTGCCTTACAGGGATGTTTCAACAGAGGGAAGCTTGTCAATTCAGTGGGTTTTAAACTGCTGTGGTTGCCAATAGACCCAGGCTATGCATTCTTGCGCCACACAAAAATTTGCTACATTTTTTAAAGCACCACAGAGGAAAAACGGTTTGGTGCTGAGGTCAGGAGGATGGAGACAGAAGTAGGGGGAAGTGGTATCAACAGCGTCTTGCAAGGTCACTGACATTTAAAGAGCAGGTGCCTTCTGCCCCCCTGCTGTCCAAAGCCTTATTGAAAACATACTGGCATCTGCCAACAGCTGAGCAAACCCCAGATAGGCCTTCAACCTCAAGCCATGGGCTTTCCACAAATAAGTGTTTTAAAAGGGACACTTTAGTATCTTCTCCCCAGGTGGGCACCGTCATTAAAGAGAAATCCTCAATCTGAAGTTCAGTTTCAATGCACCATTCATAAAAAGTAGGCTCATGCCAGTAGGCAGTGGTTTGAGCACAGCTGGTCCACATGTCTGGATAGCCAAGCAAACTAGAAACTGGATGGCAGAGTCCACGTGGGCCCCTTGGTCAATGTGGAAGAGGAGACTCTGCCACCCAGCCCTCTGGACCTCATCCTTCACACACCCTGTCCTCCTTCCAATAGTGTGGGGGAGGGGGACATCACAGGTCCATGTGATGAATGAATTTCCCTTGGCCTCCCATGAATGGTCCGGGTGCTAGACTTTTGTTCTATTGCGTTCCTTATTTATTTGTCATGATTTTTTTCAATTTGTTTTCACTCAGTCCTTGTCCCTGTCCTCCAAATGTAAGCAAGGACAGAAAACACAGAACTGTGGAGGGAAAGGGGTACTGAAAGGCTGGCTTCCCTCCCTTACCTCTGTGGCCCAGAGCTCCAGACATAGACAGGCTTCCAGCCAGCCTCACAGCCCCCAGGCTGGGCCTGTGAACATTCTGGCCACAATCAACTCAACGAGGTGATTCCTTTGGCATAAGAGAAGTCAGTTCCTGATGGGAAGACAGTATGCTGGAGGCTTGGGGGGCATCCCAAAGAGCTGGGCACTTTGGCCTTTGGCTCTTCCCGGGGACTTTGACTCATGCATGGTTTCTACTCCCCCTCCGCACCTGTCTCTGACAACTGACTTCCTAAACTTCACGATTAGGGAATTATTTGGCAACGAGGAGGCTAAGGCTGTTTTGTGGTGGCACAGTCTTTAAAAAGTTAAAAAGAAAATAGGAGACCTCAGAAAGAGGCGTTCATCCAGGACAGGGCACAAACGTCCCACTATTTGTCAGCGCCAGGGTTGGTGGCCACTATCTCCTCGTACTTTGGGGGCGGGTCGCTGTAAGACACGCTGGCCTCCTCACTGCTGCTGTCTTGGGGCGCAGTTACCTCCTCATAGGAGGGGGGAGGGGTGGCACTGGACAGTCTGGAGAGAGAGAGCTCAGGGAGGTAGAGGGTGCTCTCAAGCCGGACTGTGGTCCTGCCCCCCCGACTGGGCCCCAGCACCACCTGGGGGCTGCCCCCTGCCTCTCGGTGCCCAGAAGGCTCCCCTTGGCTGTGTACAGTACCCCGGTACACCATGACCCGGGGGAGGCTGTGCCCAGCACGACTGGCTAGGTACCGGTTCTGAGCATAGGAGGGGTGGTGACGGGTCGCTTTCTGCAGCTGGCACCTCCAGATGATGAACAAGGCGATGACAATCAGCAATGCCACCCCCAGAAGAGGTACTACCACGTACATGGCATCTGAGCTCTGTGAGGGGTCTCGGACTGAGTAGACTGCATTTGGGTACCCCTTCCAGAACTCCATCTGCAAAACAAAACAGGATACTTATGAGAAGCTCAAGCTCCAGGTGGGCTCAGAGGCCTTCAGTAAGTCTAGTGCTTCTTACCCTTCCCCATCTGACTGGTCTCAGAGAGTTACCAGAATGTACTAAGGGCAAATGACAATGCTCCCAACTGAGGAGGACCCCAAAAGAGTCAGGCAATGGGACTGTGTAGACTTTATCTGCTCCTCGATGGTCCTAGTGGCTATGCCTTAGGCTGGGTGGCTTTCCTTGCTTCTGATTCGTCTGCATTACCAGGACCTGTTCTTGCTATTCCTGAGGCAACTTCTACTCCCAGAACCAGCCCCAGGGTGGTACATGCCGTTTTCTCTTTGTTCTCAAACACTTCTTTGACCTCCTCGTAGCTGCAGATCTCCTCCATGCACTCTCGCTCAATGGTGCCCTGGCGTAGCTCCTCCAGGAACTCATTGGCACGAGGGAATCGTTTCAGGACCGAATGGGCATCCTTGGCCTCCAGAAACACTGAAGAGAGAGCTGTACTAAGGCCTGGAATGGGGAGATGCCCAGGGGCTCCTTCAAACCAGGCCCAACCCAGCAACTGAAGCATAATTATGCAGGGAAACAAGGCTGAGTGAGCAGGCAAGACATCAGGCTTCTGACCAAGGACATGGCCAGCCCTTTGTACAAGGGAGGGAAAGGCTGACATTCTATTGTGCCATGATACACCTGTCTAGAATACCATGGTCCCAACAAGACTCAGGCCCCTGGCTACATGGAAGAAAGTGGGAGCCAACTGCCAGGAACGTTGGCACAGGAACGTTCCTGCACGTTGCACAGGAACAAGAAAGAATAAGGATTGTGAGGAGATAATCTTCAGTGACTAAATCTCCAGTTATCTTCTGCATCACCTTGAAAAATGAAAGTTGGAGCTATTGCCATGAGAATGTATTCTTCTTTAAGGCCGATACTGGTGGAACCAATAATACCAGATAATCCTAGAAGACTCCACCGGGGTGGTGTTCCTCCGCCTGAATGTCTACCTGTGCCACCACGTAGTCTGGAATTAACAGTCTTGCTCAAGAAAATGTAATGCAAAGCCAGCCTTGGCTAGATCAGGCAAGTGGTCATACATGAGCCTAAGAGCACCTCTGGGGATGGGAAGTAGAAAGGTTCAGATGGAGAGTCTAAACCTTTACAGATGGGGCACAGACACCCCCTACAATACTGTCTTTGGGTGGTGGGCATATCTACTTATTCCAGAGAGAGAGAGACCCAGCTCCAACCTGGCTGACCAGAATAGCTTGAGTTCTGCACCCACATAAACCTGACCTGAGACTGTAAAGGATGAAAGAATAGGTGATGTTTGCTCCTGGTGTTCAACTAGAAGTGGGACTTCCTGGTTCCCATGTAAAGCAACTCTCCCTGGATGCCCAGGCTAGTATGTCTTTGCCAGCAGGCAGGTACACTTCCCCAGGCCCTATGGCCTGTCACATTACTGTCACTCAGGAAAGCCTGGGTAGGTACATATCTACAAGTGACATATGCTCCAGAAAGGAGCCCAAGAGTTGAGAGGACAAAACTGCTACTCAGCCCATTGGAAAATGGCTCCAGGGCAGGCCACCTGGTTGGATATGGGGGCAGGGAAGCTGGGAAGGGTTTGAAACCTGACTCATGAGCCCCTAGGCATGGCCCTCCACTGCTCTCCACATGCCTGGGCCTGGAAAAACTCACCTGCCATGATGCTCCCTCAGCTCCAGGGTCTCACCTCTCTGGAGTAAGAAAAAAAAGCAAAGTTGCAGTGAAACCACATCTAGAAATTTATAGGGCACCCTCTTGGCTCTGGGACGTGCCTCCCTCCCACTGGCCTGGTCAAAAGGTCGAAGCAGTACCCTCCGTGCTGACTCCCATAGCTTCTGCTGCTTCTCATTCTGCCCCAAGCTTTTCTCCAGAGACCTCCTCAGGCCCAGGAGGGTCCAGAGCAAACCTTTCAGCGTTTTCCCCCAGGAACATATTCTGAGCTTCTATAAAACCTAAGGGTTTACTTTTTTCTTTAAAAAAGGAAAGCTCCTACAGGCTGAGGCTCCTCCTTCCTTGCTCACTTCAATGAATCTTTACAAATTCCAATTGGAAAGGATGTCAGAGACAGATGAGGAAATAAAGCCCAGAGAGACTAGATTCAGGCAAGGTTAAGCAAATCAATAGTGACAGTGGCAGGACCAGAATTTACAACTAATTTTGATCACAATGGTGAGTCACAGATACCTCCAATGACAAGCATGTTCCCTGAAAACAAAGCTTAACATGGCGTCAACCATCTCAAAAGTCACTGCCCTGCTGGGACTAACCCATGGTAACCTTCTGTGGACACATGTCCTACAGGGTCACATCCTCCATGCACAGCAATGCTGCATTCTTCATATTCCCAGGCATATCCAGAAGGCCCAAACCCAGATGACCCACTGTGTTCATCTTCACCAGACAAGGAAGCAAGATACTTGGAATCTTCTGGAACCAGACCTCTCTTCCCTCTTTGTATTAATGCTCACAGCAGTGGAGCACCAAGATATGAATTTAGATGACCAACACTAAGACGCTAACTAAGAGTTGCCCCTAGTGTAAGCTATTGTCCAAATGCCTTTCTCCTGCTAAGGAGCTATCCAGCCAGTACCTAAACCATGGTCACAGCACACTGCTCCCTCTGTCCCTCACTCATACACACATTCTGGACCCCTTGCTGAACTGTCCACATCTGGGAGCAATCACCCCACTGCTCCCCTCCCCAAGCAGAACCTCTGGTTTTATGACTAACTGAATGCAAGACACATGAACTGCGGAACCCATTGAGCCCTCCTTTTTGCCTAGACTGCCAGGAAGTTCAGTGTCACTATTGCCAGTCAAGCACAGGCACCCTGGAAGCCCGGCTGTTAAGCACATATGCTTCTGTCCTGCGATGTGGTATACAGCTTTCTATTTATGTTTTCAGTGTCTTATTGTGCATTTATAACATGTTTCCTAATCCTTTTAGGAAACAGGATATAATAAAAAATTTAGGCTGGACATGGTGGCTGATGTCTGTAATCCCAGCACTTTGGGAGGCTGAGGTGGGTCGATCACCTGAGGTCAGGAGTTTGAGACCAGCCTAGCCAAACTCCTGACCTCAGGTGATCGGTGAAAATCCTGACCTCAGGTGATCAGCCTGGTGAAACCCCATCTCTACTAAAAATACAAAAATTAGCTGGGCATAGTGGTTCACGCCTGTAGTCCCATCTACTTGGGAGGCTGAGATAGGAGAATCACTTGAACCAGGGAGGAGGAGATT